AGCAGGCAGAGATATAGGAAAAAGCAATGGCATTTGTGATCTGGTAATACAGAGGTGTTTTCTTTAGGGCGATAGTGCTCCAGCAGCCGGAAGTATGTCAAGCAGCTGCTTCTGCAATCATGTCATCCCTGACATGCACCTACAGAAATAGTGACATAATCTTAAGAATTATTATCATAAATGAGATTATTATTGACCAAAACCTATGAGGCATATGGCTATACAGATCTTTTTTGCTTAGGTTTGTTTTTTGAGACAGGGTTTCTCTGTGTAGCCTTGGCTGTCCTGAACTTGTTTTGTAGACTAGGCTGGCCTCAAACTCACAGAGATAAGCCTGCTTCTGCCTCCTAGAGTGCTGAGATTACAGACTTGCACCACCAAGCCCGGCTCAGCTATATAGGTCTTTAACTGGTGACTTGAGACTAAACTTTGCTAATCTTGGTGGAGCACACCAGTAATTTCAGCATGTAAGAGGCTGAGACAGAAAGATCCCGACTTCATGACCAGCTGGGTATACAGAATAAAACTGCCTCAAAAGCCAAGGGAAGAATAGAAGGAAAAGAAGGGCTGGATGGAGAAGGAATTAGAAGAAATAATTAAGTGAAAAATGTAGGAAAAAATGTGCCCTGACTCCCAACAGTTCTCTGAAGTCCAGTGTGCTTATTAATTTTTCTCCACTTTTTACCCCCTGCCAAGTTGGCAGAGCTGTTCCCACACAGAGCTTAGGTAAAGATTTGAGCACCCACGTTCAAAAGCTTTAGGAAGGCCCTGAGAAGAACCTTGAGGAGCATAGGTGGGTGCTCAGCAGAATATGCAGCAAAATCTTCTGGGTAAATTAATGTGTGTGTGACCCAGATTTAGTGACCTCAAAAGAATGCTGGTTATTTGGATAGTTTAATATGAGTTTCTTGACAGCCTAGGAGAAGCTTTATTGAGGCCACATGGCTTAGGATTTTTACAGGAATTTCTGGGTCAATGACCCCTCTGCTGCAGTGATTGTAAAACATTACAACAGAGTTTTTCCTCTTCCTCTTACTACCTTTGTTTTGATAATCTAAGATTCAACTTATTCATCGAAGTCCTCTCCCATCCCTTGGGGGTTGTTTGTTTGTTTGTTTCAGAGTCTTACTTTGTAGCCCTGGCTGGCCTAAAACATGCTAGGTAGACTAGGCTGGCCTCCAGCTCATAAGAGATCAACCTTCCTCAGCCTCTGAAGGTCTAGGATTAAAGACATACACCACTACCAGGCTTTCTCCCTCTCTACATATTTTAAAATGCTGCTGCTGCTGCTGCTGCTGATGATGATGATGATGATGATGATTATTATTTTTTAGACAGGCTGGCCTGGAATCTGTGATTCTTCTGCCCCAGCTTCTCAAGTGGTAAGATGATAGGTCCTTGTTCCCATACCTGGCTCTTAGAGATTTGGGATTTTACTTTGTTTTTTTAGTGGTTTTGTTTATTTGTTCCTATTGTTTTGAGACTGGGTCTCACTGTGTAGTCCTGGCTAGCCTCAGACATACCCAATTCTGCCTCCTGAGTTCTGGGATTAAAGGGATGCTCTGCATCACCTGGTTGTTTCTTTGTTTTTTTTTTTTTTTTTTTTTTGTTTTGTTTTGTTTTGTTTTTTTTTAATTTTGGCTTGGTTGGTTGGTTGGTTGGTTGGTTGATTGGTTGGTTAGTTGGTTGGTTTGGAAATTTGGTTTCGTTTTTTTGACTTATTAACTTCATCTTGATAGTATTCTTAAAGCTAATCAAGAATGTCTTTCATAGGAGCTAGAGAGATGGCTCAGCATCTGAGCACTGGGTGCTCTTCCCGAGGACTCAGGTTCAATTCCCATCTAACAAGCACCTATAACTCCAATCCCAGGAAATCCAACACCCTGTTTTATCCTCTATTGGCAATGCACTCACACATATAGTACACAGATGTACATATAGGCAAAGCACCCATACACATAAAATGAAAAAAGTTGTTAGAAAAGAATCCCCTTCAAGTCACAAAGGACATCCCTAGATCCTGACTCTTGAATAATGATGGATACCTGGAAGCCAATCATAGACTGTGTCAGGAAGGCATACCAAGGGAATAATTTATGTCCTTAAGAAAGATTCCAGACTTGGGGCCACAAAGATGGTTAAGTGCACTTGCTGTTTTTGTGTAGGATATGTGTTGGTTCCTAGCACATGGTGGCTAACAACTGTCTATAACTTCAGTTCCAGGGGACCCTCTTCTAACCTTTGTGGGAACCTCACATAAATACACAGACATAAATGTAGGTAAAATACTCATACACTTAAAAATGCTTTAATCTTTTTTAAAGACTCCATTTTTTTTTCCATTTGCAGTGTTTTCTACATGACTTGTCTTATCCATAGTAAGGCAAGCAAGGCATAGCTTGTAGCTCATTTGAAAAATGGTATGGACAAGACAGGAAACAACTAAGGCACACAGGATGATGGGATTTATAGAATGGACCTGCTAGCCTGTGAAGTTAATGCTCAGCAGAATAGGGCCCATGGCTAGGAATATAATTATCCTCTAGAAAATTTCTTTAGAGATCATATAGGAAATAGATGAATGCATACATTCTATTATATCCACACAATGTAGATAATAAGGAAGGTAGTAGTATCTTTCTCTGAAATGAGGAGAAAGGGTGAACTAGTTAAAAGCTGTTTAATTAAACTGACAATAATAAATAAACTGACAATAATAGGATAATAAACAGAACCCCTCATAGAAACTCTCAATATTTTTACCCATCTACCACACAACTCTACTTGCATCTATGCCTGCAATAGCGGAGTTTCTCAGAGACCAACCCAAACCTCTGGATTTACATCTGAATTCTGTCTCCATATCCCTTACCCCATCATACTATCTCCTCCCTCCCATATCATCATCATCATGAGCATCATCATCATCTACATTTTCTCGACAATGGATCATTGCCGCCACCCTCTTCCATGCATCTCAGGATATTCTAACATTGTCAAGCTTTAAAACAATAGTGAAATGATCAATACATCACCATAAGCCACCAGCTGCAAGAAAAATGGTTCAAACTCCATGGTGTGCTTTTACAGAGCAACTGAATTCAGTTCCCAGCACTCACATGGTGGCTCACAATGATCTATAACTCCAATTCCAGGGGATCAGACATGCTCTTCTGACCTCTGTGGCCACCAGGCACAGACATACATGCAAACAAAGTGTTCATACATGCAAGATAATTTTTTTAAGTGTGTGTCACTGTATCATTTATTTGTCTACTCCCTCAGTGATCTGGAATCAACACGTCTAATGTGCATGCTTCTGTCTGTAGGGCCTAATTCTGTCTGCCTGGCAAGGGGCTTTACAGTGTTCTTTCAGCACATTCCTGTTTCAGCTCACACTGAGAAATCTCCAGTCTGTGATGGTCAGGTGGGTAACTGGAAGGCATTGTCTTGACTGGATAGTCAGAGAAATAAGGGTTCTAGTGAGCTTCAGAACCTGATTCACAAATGCCTGTCAAAGGAAAAAGGAGGATAAGGACAACTTGGGGAGTGGTCTCTGCAAAACAGGTTAGGGGTGAACCAGATGGGACCAGTTGAAATCAAGTGGCAGGGATGGCTCCATGAAGACAGCAGATTCCAATGAGTGTTAATCAGACTCTCATGCAGGACATTAGCCCCAGCCCTAGAAGCATACCCACTGCTACCCTTCAAAGCAGCCCTGTGTGCTGCCAACATCTTCTGCAGAGGTGTCTCTAAAGCCTATTCCTTGAGCACCAGCTTGCAACTCAAGAATATAGGATACTCCTAGAATTGATTGTGTTTACAGGTCTTTAGCTACAATAGAGGCTGGAATACCAAATGTTTACCTCTGTCCTTTTGGAATGATTAGGAAGGAATACCCATACAAGAGAAGCTCCTGATATTGGGGGCAGGGGGGCAGACATTATTCTGCTGATATTAAAAATATAGTTGCCCCCTAGGAAATCACTCTTGGGCATCTCCTTCAGAACAGTAAGCAAGATGAATGTGGTCTCTCAAGGAAGATGCATCAGGAATACCCAGAAATCACTAGATAGCAGCTACCAGCACCAGGGTTACACTGTGTTTGTGCAGTTTCTGACCCCAAAAATACAAATGCCGGTTTCACTACTTTTTGAGAATGCAAGAGTCCTAATGTATATAGGATGGGAGATGCTACATGGCAGAACTGTCTGTAGCTGTGATGTGCTGAAAAGTATTTGTTGCTTTTATATATATATATATATATATATATATATATATATATATATATATAT